ATCCTCAGAGACGACAATAAGCTGACACTGAGTAGCTCGTTTAGCCCTTCAGCTAAGACTGCCAACGAGTGAAAGACCTTCAACATATGCAACGCAGTGTGGAGAAATCTTCACCGAGTAACCTGTCACACTTTGTGCAAATCTGCCACCAGCTCTCATTTTCCAGACACGCTGTGATATTAGGTCAAATACGCCCTCACGACAAATCCTCCAACATACTCTGCTGACCCTTAAGTTTTTCGGAAAATAGTGACAAAAGCAGCTTGATATTTCTGAGCCACTGGGGACTGCTTTGATCTCTTATTGCTACAACACACTCTTGACTTCCCCTGTCATTCCAATCAACACTTTCACATGAGGCAGGCAACATGCAGAGTGTTATAAACCTCTGGCATGGCACTGCAGTTGTGCTTCCATGGGATCCCCCTCTGCTGTCATACATCCCAAATGAGAATATATTAATAACACCGACACCACCACAAGCCAAGTGTCTGGGATCCAAATTCATTTTCACTATGTCAGGGGTTCATGCATAATTATCCGCTTCATCGGCCTGTGAGACTCGTCTGCTGCAATGTAACATCCACAAAAATGGGGAGTAAAAAAAAAATTTAAATCTGCCTCCTCTTGGCACCCTGGTGTCGTTTAGCCTTGATCACCAAAACAGATGTGACACATCATCCAGAAACACAAGCCATCCAGTGAGATAAAAGCTGCAAGCTCGCCTCAGGTCAGTCTTAACCCAGATCACAATATGAAAAGCACAAGGAAAACGCTGCAAATTGAAATTTCTCTCTTACTCAGAGAGATCTTTTATTAATATTTTATGTTCTTACACAATGCAAACTGGTTCAGTTCAAACTTGCTGCCTGCCAGAGCAAAACAAAAGCACTTTTCAACCAGAAAAACCAAGTCACAGCTTTTACTAAATGGGTATCCAAGACTGAGTGAGAGTAGCAGCTATAAGAGCTATTAACATAACAACAGCAGCGAAGTTACACACCACGCCAACACATTCAAATAAACAAACGGTTGGTTACACAGCTCGAGTCCAAATTGCTCTGCTCGAGCAGTAGCTCTTGCTGCATCGAGCAGTGACACCAAACATCCTAATCGTCCTGATGATTTCATTACGCCTTCCCCTCTGCCGCAATGATTGTCTCGGGAAGAGACCAGATCCAGAGACAAGCCTCAAGTCTTCAGACTGACCTCGCGGGGACAGCAATCAGTGGCCCTGTGCGCCAGGGGAACCCCTCCTGCACAGGTTTGCCGCAAGACTGCTGGAAGTCATGTGGTCCCTGTGTGTTTCAACAGGTAATGAATCCCTCGGGTGATGAGTGGCACGGATGAGTTACCCCCCCTCCCTCCAGCTATGGAATGCATCGATTGAAGGCATTGCTACTCTAACGAATCTATGAAAGCAAATGAATGGTTACAGGGAGGCACTAAAGCAACAGCAGGGAACAGAAGGGGATGGACGAGCTTGTAGTGTCTTTGTCTTTGTGAAATAGGTGAAGGGGTCTGATAAAGTTTGTGTTCAAGCTGTCAGGTGGGAGGTGGAGCACAGTGGAAAGGGAAGGCAGCTCTGTCACCCAGTTTTACTTGTAATCACCTACCTGGGAGTGCTTTGACAAGCCGAAGAGGAGCAGTAAATTTCTAGAATTGGCCTATGTTGGCAAATGGCAAGGAAATAAATAATAAACATTTGTCCTTCTGCTTGCTGGTGGCATTGGTCTATTGTGCTAAAACAATCAGAAAAAGGAGTTTACACCTCTGAAACAGCCACATGAAAGCCCTCATTCGTGCAACTTTGTTACACAACTTGCTTTCATATAAGCATAACAGACGAAGCCAAATGTTCAGTTTATAGCAAGAAACTTTTGATTAAGTATTTTAAAAAATGACCTTGATCCCACTCTAGCATCCTTGCTGTTTCCATATCCCGCCTTGAAAACACACGCATGTGAACAGTGCGCAGTAAAATCGTCTACTCACAAGTGCATATTTTTTTTGTTTTAACAAAATAGTTTTATTATTCAGTCATTTCTAACTATACAAAAAAATGCGATGCCAAAAAAGTAATCATTCAGAAGCAGGATCCCCACCACCACCCCTCCGTTGCTGTGTTCTGATAAGGGTTGTAAACCTTTGTCAGGCTTGTCGAGCTTATCAGAATGATTCCCCTCCCTTGTTACGGTCACATAAGCGTAAAGGGTAAACACAACATTTACAAATCATTACTGGATTTATATGCACATTCTGATGAGCAAACGAGAAACTGGGGGTAAAAAATCTTCCTTAAATAAAGTTCAGCGTGTCAAGCCTTTAGCGGCTCTTCAGAAGGGGGGGGGGAGATTTTATTTGCTTTTTTTGTCTGTGTGCAAATTTCTTCCAGCATTCATTCCTAAAAGTGGAACCACAAAGTTAAAGCCCCAGTTTCCCTAAAGTCATTGTACATGGAAACTCTGAGACAGCCTGCTAAGCTGAGATATAGAGAGGGCACATTCTGCAGTCCACGAGGATTCACATTTACTCCTTTGCTCATAATTAAAGCAAACCACACGAGCAACTTACAAAGCATTCACCAGAGCTGCTTTAATATTAGCTAATCAACACATTTATTACTGCCACATAAGACTTGGAGGGGTCAACTTGTTAAAAACACCAGGGGACAACTGGTCCTAATCCAGTAAAATGTATTCACTTGACTGTGTTTGATAAAAGGCAGATGTAGGAAAAGAGGCTACTTGAGTTTGAAGAGCCATCTTATCACTGAGTTAGAGTGCAGTCCTCGCAGCTAAGAAGCAGATGCTCGGGGTATGGCTCACTGGTTGACCTGTGAGCAAAGCCAATCAGAGCCATAGACAGGGAACAATGTGCTATCACGGTGATATGCACTTGTTTTGATAAGCGGTTGTCTGCCTGAGTCCCTCTAGTTTGTCAGACGGGCTTGCTGCAATATTGGCAGAGGGTTATGAGAATGCCTGTAGGGCTGCACGGCACAGTTCAATTCCATGTGCGCTGCAATCTCGGAGCTCTCAGGCTTGCTAAATCAATTACACAGAGTTGTGGAGCCCGGGCTTCTCCCCTCATATAACACCAATTGTTTCTGTTTGCTTGCACTGGATAGATAAAATATACACTTCCTGATAAGTGGATAGAATAGCTGCGTGCATTGGTGTGTATTCTGCATGAGTTCAACTTTTGAGATGTCCACTGAAGCAGCTGTCAGAGGTCAGACTGCAGCAATCCCCGCAAGTCACAAAGAAGAACAGACAGCAACTGAAGCCTTTGCATCTAAAGCAGACGATGCTTCAAGGCCCCAGTGACAAAAGGAATAAATTTTCCTTCTCCATCTTCTCCAACTGAGTCCAAGAGCTAGTGTTTGGAGAGAAATTAATGACAAGGGCGCTGCAGATCAGAGCCTGGGGGCATCAACAGAGCCCTGGCTTAAAGCTCGGATGTCTGCAGGGAAAAAACAACAGCGTGCTCCAAGAGGGAAGCAACACAAGTCCAGCTGCTACTTGTACCAAACGCCCCACACTGGATAAAACCCACCCTAAGCTCCATGTCTGCCTCAAACGCAATCTTCCCACACACTCGAATTTACCACAATTTTACACAGTTGACTATTTTTGTTGCATAAACAAGGGCTACAGCAGAATGCTCCCACGGGGCTTCATGCGGCTCATCATCCTCAAACAAAAATCAATCATCATCTCGTCACCTGTCCGCCCAATAAAGGTCAGCTGACACGTTTTTGAAATCTGGCTAATTAATATCCAGAATGTCACAAAAGGTCAGCTACATGCTAACGGCTTTGTTGGTTTTGTTAAGCTGTTTGTTGAACTCGCAAAGGTAAGATTACAAAGCTTATTTAAAATTAAAAATCACAGTTTTAAACAAGATCGACAGTCAATTCTCCTTCCGGGCAACTCACTGAGTAAATATTGCAGACGAGGGAAGAAAACAATGGCAGCGGGGTGTTTGGCTGATAAATCTCTCCCTTGTGGTTTTATTTACTTCATTTACATGCACATAACGATGCATGTAGCCGGGAGGTGAAAAGAGCTAAATACTGTGAAACAGGGCAACATGAGAGCTGGAGGGAGGCCATTGAAACACAGATTCACATCACATTTTATGAGCAGCTCTCATTGAAATTGCACCTCCTGCACGCTTAGGCTCTCATATGTCTCAGCATCATACTGTACATACTGTGCGTATACCTGCAACCAGCGCTGCCCCACCCTACCCAGTCGAGCAGGCTCCTGTCACATCCGTGGTATTTTTCCCGCTGCATCTACTTTGGGATTCAGCTGAAGGCTGCTGGGAGGAAAAAACTGTTTAGTGTTCATCTTTACGTCTCGGTGACAAACTACAGTCGTTTCGGGGGAGCCTGACAAGCAGTTGCAGAGGCTGACACATGACACGCTGCCTCGGGGGAAACCTCTCGGGCACGCCAATAATAACTCCACGTCGCTCGGCATCTCCCGAGGCACGCGACTGGGCGCGTGCACAGCACACAGCGTCGTACCCGACCTGATTTATGGAAATAAGACACCAAAGTGCAAATCTTAGGGCGGAATATGCGTAAAGTTTGCATCGCTCTGGTTTCTATCACAGCATCTTTTGCTCACTGTAACCGGGGGAGGACATCACTGCAGTTCTAATTAGTCGCTGGGTGAATTTCTAATGATATATTTTTTTAACTGCTTAAAAATAATTTTTGCTTGTGGGTTTATTGGTGGGCTGGAAAGTTTTTTGTTGTTTAGCATGTTTATACTTCTTTTAATGGGGAAATATTAAGCAGGGTTATTAAAAAAAACAATAAATAACAAAGTAAAAACATCAAAAAGGTAAATGACGCCTTAAAAATGAAAATAAAATGAAAAAATTACCAATTTAAGTGCTTCTCACAAAAAAATGTAGCCAAAAGACGCGCTAAGCTTCCCAAACCTGACGCAGACGGGGCAGCATCAGCACCCCGATGGACTCACCTGCAGGACACGGTTATCTCCACTTTGGTGGCCGGAATGCTTCCGCTGATGGGGTCGAAGTCGCGGACCGTTGCCGTGGCCTCCACTTTGTCCATAACGTCTCCCTCCATGCGTGCTGGAGACCCGGGCCAGCTCCACTGGCCGCGTGAGCCCCTTTGAACCTGGAGAGCCGAGGGTGGAGAGCCGGAGCGCGGCGGACGGGCGAGCGAGCGGGAGCGAACACGGTCCACACAAACCTCCAAAGTGCTGTCCGTCGGACGGGCAACAGCATGGAAAGTTTAATCGGGGGCTGCAGCGGTGAAGCGATTAATCTGGCTGAAGGAGGGGTGGGGGGTGTCACGTGCCCGGGACGCCTCAGCGCCAAACTCCGCGGTTTTCCAGGCAAAGACTGAGCTCTTCTGCCAGAGGAGCTTTGAAAAGTAAAAGACGTGAACTCCTCCCCTCCCGTCTGCATTCTCCTACACGCGGGGCTGCGACTACACTCTCGTTGCAGATTCGAGCTGTAGATATGTGGCGGACGCCTTTTATTCTGGTCCAGATTGCTTTTTAAATCGAGTTACAGAAAATAAATAAGCACCGGAGGGCGCAAATAGCCTCGAATTCTATAGTATATATATATTGTGAAATTTCCCTTTTGTTTCGGTTGTTTGGCTGTTCTAAAAATTAAACCCCTGCTTGAAAATTAAACCCAAAGTAAAATGTTCAAAGACAAGCGTTAAAAGGACACGGGTCCCTTCAGAGATACCAGCTTTTATTTCTCACTGGAAGGCTGTTTGTTGCTCCTTCAGCATCTGGACAGCTCCTCAAACTCCTGCGGCTTCAATCACAGCCTCTTTCCTCATTTATCTTCATAAAAACAATTACAGTTTCGTTTTTTTTCCCTCCACACCTACAGAATATTCTTCTTCAGGAGTGTGCATGGGAGGCTGTGCTCTCAGGGGAGCTCCATTTGCATTTCATCATTATTCCTGATTGAACAACAAGAGGAAACCAGGAGAAATGCAACCTGTCAAAAGCTCAGTTCAAAGGTAGACTTCTGTGTATGTGTGCATGGTTGTGCAGATCTATGGGGGAGTTATGTCACAGTAATCAGTGATAAAAAAAGACTCCCTGCTCTCATACAAAAACTGCAAATTAAACTGCACATTTGCTACACAATGAAATGCCCACACGTGTACAAACTATAGCTATTTCAGCCATAGAGTCTGTATGTGGTCCATGCTATAGGCCATCCGTCATTGTGAGAGATCTACAAACAGTGGTAAGGCACCACTATTGCTACAGACTTGAGCTGATTGGGCGATGAGTGCTGCATATTTCGGACAAAGCACCACCAGAGCACAGATTCATCATTATTCATGTTCATTGTGTAATTAGGCTCCACAGTGGCCTTTGGTTGGCTGATTTCAAGCTCCCTTCTGAGCTCAGCTCCCTGCCACCTGCTGCGAGGCTCTCCTCTGATTCTGCCCGCAGCCACCCCATTTCCTATAGCTCTGGCAGGAGTGCAATTACAACTGTGTGAACCCTCTCAGCAGGGAGTGTGTGTGTGTGTGTGTGTGTGTGTGTGTGTGTGTGTGTGTGTGTGTGTGTGTGTGTGTGTGTGTGTGTGTGTGTGTGTGTGTTAGAGACAGCAGTGGCACCACCCACACCTGCTCTGCATCTGAGCATCAGCAGGCCAGCTCCAACAGCACTGGTGAAACCGACACCAACAAGAACAAAAGGCTACAAGTTACTCTATGTTTTTCATTTTTGCATTTTTATTTTGTGCAGCATAAAATAACTCGAGATAATGGCGACAGTGCAGCGATCATTTTGCTTCACATTATTTCCCTGATATCTCTACTTTTCAGACACTAACAGTATTTCAAATATTTACTCAAATATAGTCATACTAGTCAACATGCACATCTATGTAGATCTATTGCAACCAAGTGGAACATTAAACAACAGTTTTAATGTTAACTGCTGATTCTACCATCTACTGTACTGCACAATAGTTTTGGTTTAGTCATAGTGACTGTATAGTCATTGATTTCGCCTGACATGTGCTAATCAACACAGATACCTAATCAGCCAATCACATGGCAGCAAATCAGTGCAATTAAGTATCTAGACATGGTCAAGAAGACATGGCACATCAGCTTGGCATGGTTGTCTACTTTGCCGCTCCTGTCAGCTAAGAACAGGAAACTGAGGCTCACCAAAATTAAAGAATACTGGAGAAATGTTGACTGGTCTGATAAGTCTTCATTGTGCTGCAACATTCCGATGGTAGTGTCAGAAGCTGCCATTAAAGTGTTCATCCTGCCCGTCCAGAGGTTCAGGCTGGCAGTGGTGGTGTAATAGTGTGGGGATATGTTTTTTCCACACTCTGGGCCGCTTAATACCAACTAAGAACTTAAAACAAACAACAGAATTAGAATGTATAGAACAGAGTTTGAATGAAAGCAACAGAATTCTAAAACAAACAATAGAATTTGAATAAAAAGAGTAGAATTAGAATGAAAACAAAAGCATTTGAATGAAAACAACGGAATTTCAATGAAAAGAACGGAATTAGAATGAACAGAACAAAATTTGAATCAAAACAATGAAATTTGAATGAAAACAATGGAAGTTTAAATGTCATAATCTACCTGAGTATTGTTGCTGACCATGTCCAATCCTTTATGGCCACAGTGAACACATCTTCTGATGGCTGCTTCAAACATGTCACGAAGTTCAAATCATCTCAAACTTGTTTCTTGAACACAACATTGAGTTCACTCTACTCATATAGCCATCACAGTCACCAGATCTCAATCCAATAGAGCATCTTTGGGGATGTGTTGGAACGGGAGGTTCACCTTATGGATGTGCGCTCAATAAATATGCAGCAACTCTGTAACGCTATCATGTAAATCTCTTACCGAAATCTCTGAGGAATGATTCCAACACCTTTTTGAATCTATGCCATCTAGTATTGGTTAGAAAGCTTTCCAGCGTTTGAATTGTTTGTGCATCCTTATCGTTATTAAGTTATTGTTCCACTATTCAGTTTAATACTAGCTTTTGCCTGTAATGGAGATAAAAATCAACATTTAAATCCACTATTCTTACAAATGTCCTTCTCTGCTCCTCTTTTTCAATCAAGCGGCCAAAAACAACAGTTCATGCAGTGGTCATATGACACTGTAGCTGCTCTCTCGTGTGACTGTTCTCCTCTACGCCTACTTACATAGTGAAAGTAAGTATGGGGGACAGCAGTCACTGAACTGGACCTCCTGATCATGTTGGTGTCTTTTGGAGCATTTTTAATGGAATAACCATAAATAATGGCTTGCTGTGTGGTAAAGTCCACCCAAAAAGTTTGTGCTTCAGTTTGTCAAGTGAAAGTCTGGGATCTTATTGGTCAGCTACATTGCACCATTATAGTGTTTGAATGTGTCCATATTGGTTCATTCTTGTCTAAATGTGGTGACATCTGACTCAAAAAAAGATCAACAATGAGCTTTCAAAACGCTACAAGCACATCAGTGATCTCACAGTGACTGCGTCCAACTTTAATACACAGTCTGTGGTATAGAGTTAAAAATATGATGAACATGAACACCTGAAAAAGAAAGTGTGTTTGTTTGGAGTTGAAGACGAAGGCGAAACTTCGCCATTACATAACTGGACGAATGTTTTGTTTTTGTTTTTATGTTTTAATGGTCGTTATTTAGTTAACTCTGAATGCAGACATGATACAGATCATTTTAGATACTGACTGACTGACACTTTTTCAAGTATATAATTATCAGTGCTAAATAAATGTCTAAAAAACTCTTAAACCCCACTCACAGCACTTAGCTGAGTCACCATGTTTTAGGTCTTCTTCAGTGTCAAAATAACTCATAAATAGTTGTTATTCCATGCAGTGGCACATAGCAGGAATGAATTAGGTATGATCAATTCAGCATACTTGATTCTCAAAACAAGGATTAAATATAATGGGCCCCAAAATGAGGCCAACAACTCACTGAATCCAGAGCACTTCATTAGCTCCAATTTCCAGTTATGGAAAGAAAAGAGGAAGGAAAACATCTATCCATGGTGACAACTCATATTGATCAATGCAATGTAATCTATACATACAGTGAAAGAGACAGTCAAAGAGACAGAAAGTCAAATCCCATTTTTCAAACCTGTTATCTTGCCTGAGTGTGTCTGCAGCGATACAGCCTTCTCCTGTGTTTGAAAAATCTGTAGTCACCATTTAGCATTCAAATAAATATTCTTATCTAAGAGACATACACATTTCATTTTGTGTTTTTAAAGGAGTAAAACCGGCTCGTCTATTCTGTTATCAGCTGCTCCAGCAGGATGCAGGATACTTAAGACTGGGTGGAAAAAGCAGAAAGTTAAAGCTAGTAGTTTCTGCTCCATGAAGTATATTTTAAATTAGCAAATCCCCAACAAAGCCGCATGCTTCATGACGACTGGGGGCCGCCAAAGATTGCATGTATTTAACTATGTTTATTGACTCAAATTTTACTTTTCTGTGTGTGTTTTTATGATAACAGTGAAAAAAATAGATTTTTTTATTATTTAAATGACAAAAGTAAGTAATCTGTGCTGTTGAGAGTTTTGTAAAATTCCACTATTCATCCTGCTTTTTACCCCTCTGGTCTCAAATACCTTCAGAAACAGGTGATTGTACATAGAGTACCTGCTAAACAGTACAAAACAAATCATTGACACACAAACACCTGAAGAATAAACCAAAACAATGAGAAATTAAAATGCTTCATACAGCTACAGCTATAGATTTATCATAAAGGCGCCCATTTCACAAAACACAGGCTTGTTTGATTAATTAAATTGATATTAAACAGAGCTCTGAGCACAATTTTCAGTGTGGATCTTCTGCTTGGTATTAATTTTTCTACTGTGATAGCGCTGCATTTCCTAAAGGAGGAATTTGTATATTTGTTATACCACTAAATGTTATGACATCAGTGCATCTGCGCTGCTGGCATTTCCTGTTTTTGTGAAATGACTTACAATAAAGACAGAGCACTCTCGAGAGTCTGTAATACCAACTTTTATTGTGCAGTCTGAAAACATTCCATGCATTTGCTTTGAAATGAACATCTCTGAAGCAACCCACTGTAAATTTACAGCAGATGAACTACTGGAAACAATTCCCAAGTTCCTGGTTGCTAACGGCGGCATTTTGCCTGTTTGAGTTTTAGGTCTTGATTCCATTTTTTTGCCTCTCTGTCGATTAGCAAACACTTTTCAAGGACAACCGTGCCATCTGTGCAAAAAGTTTGTCGTGTTTTAGAAAGAAAAAAAGAAACACTGAATGAATTCACTTAATTTCAGTTCATCTTTCCTTTCTTGTGGAAAATAAATGTCTAATGCAGAGACTGAGGCACAAATTTGCAGCCTTCTGGCATCAGGCGAGAGCAGCGCGAGATGGAGAAGAAATACTGACAGCAGAGCTTC